AACCTTCTTGAAGCATACCCATCTAAGTTATAATATGCAGTGGAAAAGAGAATAAAAAGAACCCCCTAGCATCCCAGTACCCTAACATGGGAAAAAAAATGCATAATCTAGAATTCTGTAACAGAAATTGTCTCATTAAATTAAACAGAAATAAAAAAACAGTAAATTTAAGGCTGAGATGTAATCGACTTATTGAAGAAAAAAAATTGAGGATGAGAGAACGATTGACAAACCTCTTTGCTAGTCCAAATGCAGAACCCTACTTCGTTTTTTTCTTGTAGCACCTTCAAAGTCAGTCAACATTATGTGTTGTTCTACAAAAGATATTTACGAACACAGAACGTCATAAAATACCTTTATTGTAAATTTCTTCAACACAAAAAATCCAGAACCAAAATATTTGACGAAATTGGGAAATTATATTAAAAAGAAAGAAAAAAAACTGAAATTAAAGAGAGGGAGAGAGAACATTGTATACTGCAACTTCTGTACATATACACTGGCTCTGTCCCACAACAGCATCAAGGGCAACGGCAAGCCTTTATTCACACACAAATAGTCCCCTGCCATTACCAATTCAAAAGCATGTTCAATCCCATCACATTGTATGCTGCAACTTCTGTACTTATACACTGGCTCTGTCCCACAACAGCATCAAGGGCAACGGCAAGCCTTTATTCACACACAAATAGTCACCTGCCATTACCAATTCAAAAGCATGTTCAATCCCATCACAAGGAAGAAATACAATCAAAATTAATAAAAGGGAAAGAAATTGAAATACAGTGGAGGTGATTAAAAGATGCAAACCTTGTTTCTATTTCAAAGTCCACGAATAGATGTAGTTGCACCATTTTGTTGTAGTCCTGCAATGCACACAGTCATCAGCTACACCCAAGCAACTCTGCGTGCCAATTCAAATCCACCATGAACCAATCCACAAGCTCAAACATAGAACCCAATCATATGATAAACCATCACACAAAAGGCTTAATTTTGGTCCAAAAGGGCAATTCAAGGATATGGTTCTTACCTGAAATGCTTTGGTGAGGTTGCAAAATCACATTTTTCCTCATGCTCAAACCCTTCAACAACCAAAAAACAATGAAAGGAAATTTTCATTGTAATTCCAAGCACATGCAAGAAAGAAGAAAGGCACCAAATTTTCAATCCAACATAATTACAGAACAAAGACTCAAACTTTTGCCTTTATGTCCTCGAGTTTCCACAGAAACCCAAGTGATTTCAATAAAAAGTACTAATGTTATTAAGTGGGTGACCTCAAACGCTCTTATAAGCATAATTATTGAACTCCTACCCACAAAACAACAGTAAAATGTTTAAAAATATGAAATTTCTGTTTTTTTCTTGCATTTTTTTAGCAAACAAACAGAGGGTAAGTAGGTTTCTACATATTTTATATAGTGTTAAATCAGATTTTTGGTTTGAATGATCTTATATTGAACCAACCATCTTTACCTTCCAGCTGAGAGACTGGTCGATTAGTTCAGAATATCAGCTCCCAATCATATTTCCTTTTATATGCAAACAAATATTAAGCTCCTGGGGTTCATTATCCACATGCTCAAGTAGAGAGAGAGAGAGAGATCTTGCCTGCTTAATAATTTTTTGTTTGAGATCCTCGGAGAGACTGCCGGTCCCAGAAGATTGATCATGTCATCGTCGTAAAGCTTCCGGCTTTCTCGCTTGATCAAGAAACGTATTTGGCTGGTTTTGAAACTTTGATTGCAAACATGTTTCCCATTGATCTAACTTTTAATGCGACGGATGTTGAGTTGAACGACATTAAAATGTTAGTAACTGACTTCAAGCTTCAAGTTCAATATGCTATTATCACAGAATGAAGAAGTTTTTTTTTTTTACAATTTTGTAACTCTTTTGATATTATCTGTTTCTTTTTTAAGCGCTTCCAGTTTCATATTTGTACGATGTCATCCCTTACTTCAAGGGAGCAGGCAAAGATTCATTTACCCTTTGGCAACACTACTTCTGTTTGAATACCATAAATATCTAGGTAATTTCTTTTGGTTCCAGTACAATAATTTTGTTATGAGGACAAGGACGATAGATATTTTAGGTGCTATTAATGGATTGAAGGATTTTAAGAAAATTTACTACTGAGATGGTAGAACGTATACAGATAACGCAAGAGATGAACTTGAATATATTCGAAATGTGTCTATGCACATCAACCGATTACAAGGAGTTCATTATGCTGCGTTGGTAAGTTGCTTTTTTTTTCCTTTTAAGTTTATATGCAAGTGACCAAATATAATATCTTCAAATAGTGTAAATATTTGTACTTTATGCAAGAATGAAGAGCACATTGAGCATGATCTTGCTCAATTGTTTCCTATGGTCTTGACAGACTAGTATGCATTTTGTGCTTTCGAAAATATAAGCTTGGACTTCTTGCAATAGAGGTATGTTTTTCTGGAATCCATATCATTAATTGAGTCACTTGCACTTCAAGTACAAATATTTACACTATTTGAAGATAATATATTTGGTCACTTGCATATAAACTTGAAAAGAAAAAGAAAAAGCAACTTACCACAGCAGCATCACAAACTCCTTGTAGTCGGTCGATGTGCATAGACACATTTCGAATATATTCAAGTTCATCTCTTGCGGTATTTTTATACGTTATACCATCCCAGTAGTAAATCTCCTTAAAATCCTTCAATCCATTAATAGCACCTAAAATATCTATCGTCTTTGTCCTTATAACAAAATTATTGTACTAGGACCAAAAGAAATTACCTAAAGATCTATGGTATTTAAACAGAAGCAGTGTTGCCAAAAGATAAATGAATTTTTGCCTGCTCTCTTGAAGTAAGGGATGACATCGTACAAATATTAAACTGGAAGCACTTCAAAAAGAAATAGATAATATCAAAAGAGTTGCAAAATTGTAAAAAAAAAAAAAACTTAAGCTTGAAGTCAATTACTAGCATCTTAATGTCGTTCAACTTAACATCTGTCACATCAAAAGTTAGATCAGTGGGAAACATATTTGCAATCAAAGTTTCAAAACCAGCCAAATACGCTTCGTGATCAGGCGAGGAAGCCATCCATACTCGCTTTAGGAGCATTGGTTTCCAACTTTCCATTCTCTCACATATATTATATATCAAATCTTTTATGATGACTTGATAATGAGGTACTAAAATTACTCTTCTAAATTGATCAAAGCCAAAATGAGAAGGAAAAGAAAATTCCAAATCAAAAAGTGACTGACTCTTCAAGTCGGACCGCTCGAACTGTGTTAGCCCACACCAAATTGCTAGAAGGAGCTGACGACGCGGATCGGAAATTGAGGGGCTGTATAGAGAGAGTAAAGTGTGTGCTAAGAAGAGAGAGAGGTGGCCGACTGAGAGAAACATGAGGGACGCGGCTGCCCGAGCGAAGAAGGCGGCAAATAGAACCCTAGGAGTTGCTCGAAAGAAATTAATTGGGGGAGTTTACCTGACTCAGAAATAGGAAGATAGAAAGAAAATCGGAATCAGAAAGAGGAAGAGAGAAAGGGGAAAGAGGGATGAGAGAAGCCAAAAAAATACAGAAAGAGAGAGAGAATCGGAACCAGAAAGAAGAAGAGGAAGAAGGAAGAAGAGAGGGATAGGAAAAAAAAAAAAAAACGTAGAGAGAGAGTGTCGGCAGAGAGGAGAGAAAAGAAGAAGGAAAAATAAAAAAAAATAAAAAGAGAGATGAAGGAAAGATGGGAGTGGCGGCTGAGTACAGGAAGTAGAGTTAATTGGGTTTGGGCTATAGGCTTAGTATTGTTGGGCTTTAGGATTTGTTATATATAAAGTTGGGCATTGAGAGAACATTGGGCTAAATGTAGAGAAAAGTGGGCTAAAAATGTAATTAATTAAACAATATTAATATATTATATTATATAAAATCTGATCGGATCATTATCGAATCAGATTAAGCTAGATCCAGATCCGTCTCGTTAACTTATCGAATTAACGGACTTGGCACATAATCGGATCATCGAATCCTACGACTAGATCCATCTCTTATTAATTGTATCGGATTCGAATCAAAATCCAACTCATAGACAATCCTATTTGTGGGGTGGGGGGAACCCTAACTTTTTTTTTAATATTTTTTTAATTCTTTTAGATTGTAATAAATACTAAAATTAAACACACATTGCACAAGAAGAAGCATCAGTCCACTGGTATTTGGGCCTTGTGTCTATACTCTGAACAAAGTTTAATTCCCCATCAATGCACCTACTTTGAATTTTTAGGCAATTTACATGGTAGCAGTCCGGTTTGGGTTCAAATCGGTTCAAAATTGGTTCACCATTGGGTTGGCCAATTTTTCTGTCGATTTTAATAATTTTAATTAAAAAAATTGGACCAACCCGCCAAAACCAATTCAATTCAGTCGGTTCGGTCGGATTTTCAGTATAAATGACCAGCCCTAATTAATTTAGTCACCAGTCTATGTACAGGTGTTATCACACAAGGCAAGGGACATACGGAAACAACATATCCACTCGCTCCAATCTAGCGATTTTTCTTCAGTCCTTAGTACATAGACTAATCTAACCATTCAATTCATTTTAAACTAATCCAATGGTTATGAATTGGTGACTTGATAACCTAGTAACTATTAAAATATTACCCAAAAAAAATTCAAAAAGTATTAGACAACCAGTTTTAGAACCAAACATGCTCGATTGTTTTCAATGGTTCAATCACATATTCCTCTGTGTTTTCAGCGGGCAATTTCATTTGTGTTTTTTATTTCATTACACTTCCTTTTTTGTTTTGGGGTGGTTTTGAATTCCAACTACCCACCCCAATTCATTTAGTTGTACGTGGCTTCTTCCGTTCTATTTTTTTCCTGCATCAATTTTATCCTCACAAAAGAATATTCAAGTTTGGATTTTTTATCCTCAAAGTCCAAGAATGTCGTTTGAGATTACTCCACTACCATTTTATTGTATGGCACTTCTGTTTATTACATGAATACTGTATACAAATCAACCGATCACATTCGACATGTAGATGACTGATATCATACAAGCCCTTAGAGCGCGAGTGACATCATCACCTTCTTAACCTACCGAAAGAGAACCCCCTTCTGAAGCGGTAAGCCACATGTTGATGCTCTCAACTACAGAACCTATGACCACGGACACATGTCGCCTCCACAACAATTTGCACAAAGTCTTACATCAAAACTTAGTGCAAAACTCTCATTTTCATTTCCCTATAAATAAGAAACATTACCCAAGTAAAAAGGGTAATTACTTTTCACCTTTACTGTTACTCTGTCAAAATTACCACATACTGCTAACTTAAGCATCGGAGAGCCTACGGCAAGTAGCACACTAGTGCCCGAAGCTTGACGACTACTTCTTCTTTGTCTCCTTCTACAGGACTTCTCTATACTGAAGATTCGTGACCTTCGCACCATGTTGAAGAACAATTTATTCCCTAAGCTGACCCTCCCAAAAAGAGCATCAATAGTTTGGCATCGTCTATAGGAATTAACTTTTGAATCTCACTTCTCCACCAGTTTCCCTGGCTCCCTCTACTATCAGACCACGTCATCTCTTCTGCCCCTCACACCCCGCTATGCTGAGTGAAGCTAGCCTTGATACCTAACATCATACCCCCTTATGGGGAGCCATCTGGAAGGAAACTTTCGACCGATGAGCACCTCCAAGCCTAAGTGGATCGTCTTCATGCCGATGTCGCGAAGATGATGGAGGGCTACGACCACCTTCATACCAAGAATGCCGAATTGGAACACGACTGCCAAACCTTGAAGCGTAATTAGGAGAACGCTCACCACAATTTCACCCAACAGGACCTCACCCAGGGTGTTGAGCACACCAAACCGAACCAACAAGTAGTCTCCCGTCATAGTGCCTCGACACAGCCTAGGCCTAACAAAGGCAAAGGCCACCTTCATCCTGAAGCGACCAAGTCGCGACTTCTCCAAATCTCCCCATCAATGGATCGGCTTCACATCTTAACCAAGATTTATAGAAATTGTAGGGACCACTTCTCGAAGCTTCTGCCAAAGCCCATCCCTATTCCTATA